TCTTCTATCTTTTATAGTCTTTCATGAGATCTATGAAAAACATTTCAACCAAACAATCTTTGATCTTCAGAGATCTTTTGCAAAAGCTTATCGTGTCTTTTAACTATCAAATCTTATAACAGATATTTTGGAAAATACTTGCCAAATAAGCACTAACTGTGCGAGCTAGCAACATCTTATTTAATGAAAACTTAACAATTTTATTCATTGGCGGGGAGGGGGGAGGTTATCCAATCATAAACAATGACAATTACAATGGTTGGTTTTTGGTTGTGATACCTTGGATCTATATAAGAAGACAAGGCAAATTAGAGATGACGGGACTTAAAGCGGGCAATAAAGAGATATTGAAGTCATATCCTAATGTTTGCACTGTAGAGCCGAGTTCACATTGGCGCCCCACATGCATATCTCAGCATGCAGTGAGAACATCACCCACACTTCTCATTAAATGATGTTTCCAATACATGGTTGGGATGTACTGTGAGTGTCAGTAGGGCGTAGATCAGAATTCATGGGAGCTGCTGACGGTCAATATCCCAGTATTATAAAGACTCCATATGGCAAATTAGCAAGGTAATTTACATGATCTTGATAACTGGAATGGACCTGATCATAGACCTCTAAATCATGTTGTGCTGCCAAGGGCTGGCGTGGCTGTGCCAGGAATGGCACGATAGGCTGGGCTTTGTCGGGCTTTGGGTTCTAGGCCTATGGGCTGAGACGGCACGATACAGCCCAGCACATGGCACGGCCTAGCCTCTAGGCTCCATAATGGCTGAGCGTGGCCCGCCCGAGGAAACTAGCTGTTGGGAGCCCCCAATGGCTAGTTTCTATTTTTCATGTATTTTTTTACATAAATACCCTCCAGGTTTTTTTCAATAATGTAATTTTTTACTTTCAATTTATATATTGTTTTTATATTTTATTCCATTTCCAATATTTCATTCATTCATTGTATTATTCAAATTTAAATGAAATAAAATTATTATTTTTTCAATTTATTGTCTATTTTGCATTTTGTTAAATTTTTATTTATTTCAAAATTTGTATCACTTTGACACTGTTAAAAATGAAAAGAAAAATTCAAAATGTCAAAAAAAACGAAAAAACAAAAGAGTGGCCCATAGCCCATCCCAGAACAACCTGTAACCTACACAGCCCAAGCCGTGGTGTTGCACAGGCCTGCATGGACTCATGCCATTGGCCATGTCGGACTGATCCTTTGAAGTATCCTAAAGGATAGAAGCATGGGTAATTGTTAAAACAGACCGGATAGTCGGATCATTTGACTTGGGAATCGGTGGCTCAAATGGTTTGATTTTGAAGTCAGGTTTTAAAACCATGGGTAATTATTAATAACAAACGAGAAGCTAATTAATCAAGTTACCAAGCGGTAGGAAGATTCCAGCTGTATAACTGTTTGTGTTTCTTTCGGTGCAGCAGGGGCTGTTAACAAGGGTAAAACTGAAATCCAATCCTTACTTAACCGGGTTTTGTTAATTCAGTTCAAAGTTAAAAGAGAAAGGGTAGGTGGATTGGCTAAGAAATTGCAATTATTTGTCTTATGGTCCTTGGGTTTTCATGATTAAGGTACTGTTTGATGATTAAGTACTTGTTAAAAGAAGTACTTATTATACAAGTACTTTTTAGAAGTACCTATTTTAACAATCATTTAAGGTTGTTTTGTAATCTATTTTCTAAATCACTTATTATGTTTTTAAGCACTTATTAGGGTGGGGGATAAGCTACTTTCCCTATAATTTCTTATATTGACACAAATGACAATTTTGGCATTCACTTCACTCATACATATATACAATGCTTTTCACATGTTATACTATACATTTCAACTGAGAGTCTATGTAAACCCCACTTCATAACAACTAAGAGCCTACATGGACCCACACATGAATCGTCATGTGGACCCAATTAATAATAATAATAATAATAATAATAATAATAATAATAAAATCATAATGATGTTCTATCTGTTGTGTAGACTTATCTGTAGAAATTTGAAACCATCGACCTAGAGTGAATGGTTATAATTACTTCACTTTCATAAATTAATAATTTACAAAATAAAAAATTACCAAAATTAATATTTAATAATATCCCAAAATCACCAAAGTTGTTCATTCATAAATTAGAAAAAAAAAATTATGGTTAATTGTTAATTTAGACCTAGACCCAGACCCGACCTATTGACCTTGATTATGTCATCTTGTTGACCGGAAATGTTGTTATAGTGTTCACTCGACAGAGTGGCCACAACAATGTCTCGAGGTCAATGGGATGGCTATAATTAATCAGAGTCAAAAAGGAAACTTCGTTGTATCTTCCTTTTCTTCCTTCCACCTGATATAGAATGTTTAGGATGAAACTATGTTTAAAAAAACAAAGTTTGATCCCAGACTTGCGAACTAACCTAGGAAGAAAAAATAGAGTTCGATCTCTATGGAGTTTCAAGTTTTTTTTTTTAAAAAAAAAAACCTAAGGAGAAAAAACAGACAGTCAAGTGTAGATCTGTGAATTAACCTCTTGTCGTCGGTGGTTGGACGGTGATACTATCGCCGTTAGAACATGGGAGTTCAAGTTAGAAAAAAACAAAAAAAAAATGATTAAATGAGAAAAATAACTTCATAAAATAGAAGAAAGTGGCCAAACAGTAGGTCCGCTGACCACTTTTCCTCACCGTCGATTGTTGTTGGCGGACCTGTAACTGGGTGCGTCGCCACCTGGTAGAGATGCTCGAATGAAAGGAGGAGGTATAACCCTTGCGTAGGGGGTATTTTAGGTATTACAATAAAATATTAGAAACTAGTTTGTCCCATTTTTTTGGAGAAGTACTTCAAGAAGTGCTGAAAAAAAACCAACTTGAAGTCACTTTTTTAAAGTACTTCTTTAAAAAAGTACTTCTTCCCCACTTTTTTACCAAATACACAAAACCACTTAATAACCACTTAATGTGTGGTCCCAACTCTTAAAAGAAGTACTTCTTATAAGTGTTCTCAAACAGGGACTAAGTTGTATTAGACGATTCTTCCTTGGTTAGAGTCTAACATGGAGCCAGGGACAATGTAAAGTACATGTGGTACAAATGCGAAGAGTTTGGCTTTCAATAGCCTTTTGCAACCTTGTATTGTGAATATCTGTCCAAGAAATAAATTACACAAGTACAGAGATATTCCAAATCTAAGGTTGTAAAGATTGTACAAATGGGCATTGCATTGACAAGCCGAACTCACATATAGATGGGTTCAGTCCTAGTAATCATATAAGAATCAAGAGAGTCTGAATCCGGTACCCACAGGACACTACAATAAGCATGCACTGTGGGTATGTGTGGTAGCGTCTTTGCAAGTAGATGTCGTTGTTTGGCATTGATGTCGTTTTCTGTGAAAACAACACCACATAGACGCCACATCAGAAAAGGCGGTACTTTAGAAAACAGCCTCTTATTTGGTACCATTTTTCCAGAAAAAAAAAAAAAAAAACATTACTCTATACCACGCCTTGGAAATCGGGAAAGTGTGGTATGAAGAAAAGCCAATTTCAGTGTTTTCTTAGAAAATAGCCCATTGCTGCCAGCAGTGCAATGATGTGACATCAATATGGTATCATCTTGAACGTTGGATAATTTAGATTAATGCTAAAAAACGATTCTACATCAATGGTATCAAACAAAACCAGTATTGTTTTCCTAGAAAACATCCTATGTAACAACACTATTTCTAAACAAAAAATCTAACACCATTTTCTGAAAAAACGGTGCTTACAATTCAGACATACACAATATTGCTGTGTTCCAGCACGGATGCTAAACATTTACAAAGTTATCTGCTTGCATCGTCCAATAACTATGGGTGCACTGAGCTATGCTGTCCCATTGTGGAGCCAATTCAGTCCATTTAAAATAACTGTGGACTGGACTTTGCTTGCAAATTCAGGCCCTAATCTTGGGTTGGTCTAAATTTCAATATTTCACGTCTAATTTTGAATTGGCCAGGCTGACCACGGACTGTAAAAGCTTGTTGGACGTCTTAACCGCAATATTTTAATTTCTTAGACTGAACTTGAAACTTGTAGTCACGTGATTCCTTTGTATATTTGGATAAATCTTTCAAAAGTAATCGATAAATTGAAACTAGGGCATAACGAATAATACCCAAATTCTGAACCTTTTTATCTCGTAAATAAAAGTACAACTTATGTTGGATTAATGTAACAAAAACAAATGGGTTAGTCAATCGGGAGGGGACTAAGCTATGTTACTAAAACCGATATTACATTGTATAATGGGATTGAGGTCATTCCCTCAAAGCCCATGGAAAAGTGGCCCAAGACAGTTCTCGTTCCAATCCCTCGCACCAGGCCGCCTCCATGAATATTGGATATCAAAATATTTAGGCTTTATGGGGTGAAGTTCCTCGAAGCACAAGCATTTTACCTAGACCCAAGAAAGTTTAGGCTGTGATTTTGGTTTGAGAAAAATAAGAGTAGGGGTGCAATTTTGGGCGGGCTCAGCCTGAATCTGAACTGGTCTAACCTGAAATTTTATACTGGTTGAGTTTGGGTTTAAGAAGTTGGGATTTTTATTTTTTTAAGATATGCCCAGATTTAACCCTTAGGTGGCCCAAACCCAGACCAGGTCTGAGCCCAATTTAAATGCATCAAATTATAGTAAAGGTTGGACTTGAAGTGGAAAGATTGGGCTTGACCTTAGGTTCAGTCGAGGCACAGACCTTAAACCCTAATTTTTGGGTCGAGCCCAGAATGACAATAAATCCAGCTCTTGGTGCATCAGTACTTCAGTAGGGTACCATCCTTGTTCAGTTTATAGAAGTATTGTCATTTAGTAAAGGGTTCTGTGCCGTAGACAGTTATGCTGATCCACTTTAGTCTAGTCTTTGTGTAGTCCAGCGAGCCCCACGTCATAAAAACTGAATAAGACCACCCAAGAGATCTCATCTCCAGATTCTTCACTTCTTTCTTATCCTCTATATTGTTATCTAACAAAGGGCTTATTCTCTTCTGTGTTTTCCTTCATCCTGTTGACCATGGAATCAGGAACAGGACATGGCACAGTGTGTGTAACAGGAGCATCTGGTTACATCGGATCATGGCTTGTTATGAGGCTTCTCCAGCAGGGTTACATTATTAGGGCCACCCTGCGCGATCCCAGTATGCGTCTTCGTTCCCACCTTAGTTTCTTCTTTGCTTTTTGTATTTTCATTTCCATCTTATGAGACTGTTGCATGGTTTGACATGAGAGTTACAGACAACACAGAGAAAGTGAAGCATTTGTTAGATTTGCCAAAAGCTCAGACACACTTGACTCTATGGAAGGCTGATCTAGACGACGAGGGTAGCTTTGATGAAGCCATCCAAGGTTGCACAGGAATATTCCATGTCGCCAGTCCAGTGATATTTGAGTCCGAGGACCCCGAGGTGAGTGAGAGATTCTACGGCTGAAACTGAAGAACATGGAGAAGTAGAATAATCCAATCGTACTGCTTTCTGTATTCCATTACAATTCCATGCTCTCAAACCTAAGACCTAGTTGGGCTGTAAATTGGGCTGAATAGATCTGAAGCTAATTAGCCCAACTTAACTGCCAATCTGACTAGGCCAGCCTTTCCAAAACAGAAAACACGCCTTTCTTTGGGACCAAATATTTCCAAAAAAACCTTTTTCGTGGTGGTCCCAAATAGAACATGGCCCAATTCAAGGTGGCTTTCACATGGCATCGTCCTTTGTGGCACAATGGGGCCTTCCTTTTCCTCTTTATATCCACATCCATGGTGGAAATTTTAACTTTCACTGCATGCCACACTGGTTTCCACGTGGCAAAAATAGGATAGCTCATGCATGGAGAAAAGGGAGCTTACTAGCTTCTATGTTTGCATGTGCAGAGTATGGGTCGGGATTGATTGCATCCAACTCGCCTAAAGATACATTTCTAGACCAAAATCAGTGGACTTGCCCAAATTAAGCTGATTTTGGGTGTAAATCAATCTTAACCCAAAGTATGGAACTAGCTCAGCCGGGCTAGTCCAATCTAACTTAAACATTTATAATACAATAGCAACTAAGTAATGAATCAATCTTATGGTTGATTATTTATTGGAGCCTAAACAATTCTAAACTTGATAACGTTTTACAAAATTTGCTGGTGTTGTTTTGCAGAATGAAGTAATAAAACCAGCCATCAATGGGGTACTGAATGTTATGAGGTCATGTGTCCGGGCAAAAACAATCAAAAGAATTGTCTTCACATCATCGGTGACAACAGTTCTGATACGAGAACACCCACTTCCCATGTATGATGAGAGCCATTGGAGTGACATAGATTTTGCCATGAGGGCCAAGATGACCGGATGGGTGAGCATCCCATTTACTTTAGGCTGTGTTTGTTTTGAAAGAAAAGGTGGGAAAATCTATACAACATTTGTATATGTATTCAACTTGTGTATGTACTGGAATCCAAGCCTCGTCCATTTTACCATTAGAGAAAATGGTTAGATTTATTTTAGGGTATGTTTGGTGTGAAGGAAAAAGTAAGGAAAGGTAGGAAAACCTTTACAGACCTTGTATAGGTTTTCCTATTTTTTCCTTCCTTTCCCTATCTTTTCCTTCAAACCAAACATAACCTTAGAATATGCATATGTTTGAAAGAATCAACCTCACTAAGTACGGGTATGGGGCATCGTTTGATCTAAGGTCAATTCACACCATTTCAGACCAATGGGCTCATTTTCCTTTAGCCTGTTTAATTATTATCAAATTTCCTCATATAAATTAAAACCCATTTATTGGGCAAAAGATTGATGTTATTTATAGCTTGAAATGTATTTTCAATGTGCAGATGTATTTTGTCTCTAAAACATTGGCGGAGAAAGCAGCTTGGGAATTTGCTGAACAAAACAATATACACCTAATCAGCGTCATAGCTTCCCTTGTGGTTGGGCCCTTTATCATACCATCCATGCCTCCCAGCAATTACGCGGCATTTGCTTTGATCACGGGCAAGTCTTTTTCTTCTTCTTCTTCTATATGTGATTATAATACCAGAAAGATATGATATCAGAAAAACTTACAACCAATTAATCAACAATCGGTATTATAAAGGGGGTGATCAATCGAATCGTATTCATTAAAATTCACAAGATTCTTTGATTGATCAAAACTCTTTCCATATCATATTTTTCCAGTATTATAGATATTTTCTTTAATCATTTGTATAGTTCATTATCACAATTATCATTGCTATATTTTTTTTCTCTATTTTCTTAGCTATGGCTTGTTCATCATAATTCTTTGCAGGGGCTGAATGTTATTACTATTTTCTAAAGCAATGTAGTTATGTTCACCTGGATGACCTTTGCAATGCTCTTATATACTTGCTTGAACACCCTGAAGCAAAAGGAAGATACATTTGCTCATCTCACGATTCTACCATTATTAGACTTGCAAAAATGTTGAAAGAGAAGTTTCCAGAATATGATATCCCCACTAAGTAAGGCTCTGGCATTTTCTAGCTTATACCTACCATATATGCATGGTGCAATATATTACAACATATATACCTCTAACTTGTCTTCAGTATAGAAATATAAATATGGCTGTATTTTAATGAGCCAAGCCTTGGCCTGTATTTGAGTTCATTAAACATGCAAGCTTAAGTCAAATTTGGGTGGGCTTTGCTTGCTTTTATAATATGAGAAATATGATGTATGATTATGTTGATGCTAGATCCCAGGATGAGGTTAAAGCTAAAATCTTGGTTGGCAGACCTTGGTAAGGGAAGGGATGATAATCCTGTAAACATAGACAGACGTTAGAGCCCTCACCTATATATAGAAGGGAGAGCTGTTAGACATGAGAATAGGGCATCCCGTACCGGCTCTCTAGATTGGTCCATATTCTCTGCTTATAAACTTATGTGGTCAGCCGTTAGCCCATGATAGCCAATGTAAGTGTTAATGGCCCAGTCAGGTTGGTCCACATGTGTTTGGCAACTGTTATTAAACTTTGGCTGTTGGGACTGTTGAAACAGTTTCTGGGCTGGGCACGTTGTGGGCAGTTCACCTATTCACACCCATGTTTTGGTTTTTAGTAAAAATAATGTAATTACAAATTTACCCATTCTCAGGGTAACATGGCATTCTCAGGAATTCTCTCAACAACATAACGTAGGCTGTTGGCCCCCAACAGCTAAAGTTTCGTATGTTACACTCGGTTCACTTGATAAAATTACTAATTTGCCCTCTGAGGTGTGATAAATTTCTCAAATTTGCCCTGTCACTTTATATTAACTATGGGTCGTATAAGATAGGCTCTAATAAATTGGGGATCAATTAATGTTATATGTGTCAAAAATCTAGTTAGTTGAATGGTCATTGCCATCTAAATTTCATATTGTCCTTATTTGTATGAGCTCTATTGTATTTTATACGTCGTAAGCTTATTGTTTGTGTTCTCATGAGAGGATTATTTTACAGGTTTGAGGATGTGGATGAAGAAAACTTAGAAGTTGTTCCTTTATCATCTAAAAAGCTTCTGGGCCTAGGTTTCAATTACAAGTACAATTTTGAGGACATGTTCATCGGGGGCATTCAATCGGCCAGAGAGAAGGGCTTGATTCCACTTTCCACTACAAGACATGCCAAAGACAAGGAGATGGAGTAGAAAACCATTTGAATCAACAAAAAGTATCGTCTCTCTGTGATTTTCCTTTCTTGTTGTACCTTTCTTTTTCTATTGTTGAAGATCTAGATTAAAATTAGAAGTGATGCACATTTTGCCCTAGACACCATTTGGTATAAATTTTGTACTTTTGTCCCATTTACATTTATGACCCCATTTGTTTGCACTGTAAATCCAAATCAGATGTAAAATTTATATCTAGTTCAGATTTGCATATATTTTTATAACTATTATTTGCACCTCTAATTGATGCAAAAATTGCATTCATTGTGATTGAAAATTTTGCATCAAAAATTTGATTAAAAATCTTCACCATGTGTGTGTGATAAAGTAATATTAATTGCTATTATTAGGAAAATTGAGTCTACCTTCAAAATTTGAGCATTGGGTCTTTAGGCCTTTGCCTTTTTCTTTTTTTCCTGATATTTTAATTGCAGGCTTTACTGATTGTAAGTCAGACCACTTGTCCCATGGTTGGGACAGGTTACTTTGTTAATCACCTTTTTTGTTTAGGAAGGATATTCAGCTTTGTTTCTTTTCAATCCTCTTGTGCAATATCTTTTATTTGGCTAGAATTTTAGATTAAGAATGAAGGTTGACATAAATGATTTATAAAACTTTTCTTTGCACATTGGATTTATCTATTTTTCTCCTCTCTTCAAATTTCTTATAAAACCAAACAATGTTAAAAAGGAAAAGAATAAACATTTTATCCATATAATTTAGGTAACATGGATATCCAATGTCTTTACATTTCATATTGAAGAAAACTATTCTGTCTGAGTAGATCATTTGAATAAATTTGCCCATAAACATGAGTAGATCTGGACAATGAAAATGAACAATTCCTCTTCCAATTGTGCGAGCTGCAAGAATAGAGGCAAAACAACTGTTATTGATGAAACCATAGAGCTGAGAAACAGTACATAAATAGAACAAAGATTATAATGACAATTAAAATTTTATAGCACACAATATAAAATAAAAATAGGCATTCAGCAGTGAAGACTATCATTGTGATTGTAGCATTAAGTTCTTTTGGCATAAGCGATTCTGATGAAGGGTGATTTTGGCATGTAAGAAAGGGTCACGTGGACGCAATCTGCTCAGGGGTTGACAATTCAGTCAAAGGAATCCAGTCCACAACAATCGGAGCTTAGGCATTCAGTCGTCTCGGCCCAAAAACCACCTCGGCATAGAAACACTTTGACACCCAATTCAATTCGGGTCTAAGGAACCGAAGTACCAGTTCGGAGCTAAAGAGCTGAAACGCCATGGTCAGTTTTTTTCATTTCCATTCAGGTTGTACCGCCCATGGCTCGGCATGGCCCAACACGAACTTGGACCGGCCCAGCACAATGGTCCGCAGGCTGTGCTGGGCCTGAGGTTTTAGGTCCATGGGATAGCACGACACGGCACAACCGAGCGGGCCATGCCTCCCGTGGCCCGGCACGGCTCATATATATTATTTATATATATTATATATTTATATGTATTATATATATTTATATAATATTATATAAATTATAATTATATAATAATTGATGAAGGATGATTTGACCCAACCTATGAAACGGTGACACATAGACACTGACTCAGCATAAGCGATAGCTCAGCATTGTGGCCCAATACAACCAAGTAATAGGCCCATAAAGCAGCTCGCTACGTCATAGCGTGCAAAAGGAGGAGCTCGCCACAACGCAAGCTCCGGGTTCCCCGAGCTACCTCTAAAGGGATATATTCCGAGGCAACTTTAGCTTGCGAGCTAAGTAAACCAACTTGCCCGAGCTCCCAAGCAGACAAGTCATCCCAAGGACCAATTCTACTAAGGGTACTCCTGAAGTATTCCGAGCTCGCTGCAACAGCCACCTACGCAACCACTGGCAGGTAACGGCTGTGGCAGGGGCCCAGTGGCGGTTATGCCTGATCTCACAAGAGCACCCCTATAAAAGCCCTCAGGGCAGAGGAGAAACTTCTTCTTGAGAACTCTAATCTCTCGAGTATAGCGATAAAGCACGACGTCCACTCTTAGCCTTCGTTCCTCTCTTTACTTCCCATACATAGTACTAACTTAAGCGTCGGAGTATTCCCACCGGGTAAATCCCCRGGAATCCTTCCTTTAATCTTCTCAGGTGCTGCTCATTGCCAACAAGGAGCCAGTCAACAGCTAGGTAGGAGTGCCTGGATCGCGCTACATCATTTGGCCCCATCTATGGGAAATGCTTCAGAAAGCCTTTCTCTCTAAACTCTTTCAGTTCCTTCTTCTTCCTTGAAACAATCCAACGCTCATGGCTTCCTCTAGCAACGTCGGACGAAGCACGGAAATGGACAACTCCAGGGGACAACCCCAGCTTCCTACTGTCTGTATCGGACAGTTCACCGTCCCCCTCTCAGCGGACGGAATCCCCAGCTTGAACGTGCCTCTCACGATGGCACCTGTTATCGCCCCACTCCCCGCTACAATTGGAACGGCGTTCACCGAACCTTCGGTCGTGCCCCTAGCGGCCAGCCCGAACCAGCTAGAGGATCTGGTGCAGTGCATGAGGGCCATGCAGGCTCAAATGCAACAGTTCCAACAACTTCAACTCTATCAACAACACATACTACACCAGGTCTCCCAGTATCAGTATCAACAGCAATTCCCCCAGCTGCCCCAACCTCAACTTCAGCAGCCTCAGCGCCTTGCCTCGCAGCAAGCCAAGTCTCGCCGCCAAAGCGAGCACCCCTCCGGCCGAGGAGAGGCCCCCCAAAATCTCCCAAAAAATCAGGCCTCCCCCCA